TACCCCCCCATACAAGCTAATCGTTTTCCAATACCCAAGACTGCTGAAAAAGCCTTTGAATACCTGAAAACTGAAGTTTAAAAATGCAGTAGTGTATTCTTTCGATGAAACATTTCTTTTCACTGTAGAGACTGATGCTTCATGTCACATGATCGCAGCCTCGTTGAACCAATCTGTAGACCTGTAGCTTTCTTTTCAAGGACATTAAGTACCAGCGAACGTAAACACACTTCTATAGAAAAGGAAGCCGAAGCTATCATGGAGGCCTTATGTAAATGGAGGCACTACTTAATAAGACAACACTTCATTTTACTTACTCACCAGAGATTGGTGGCATTCATGTTTGATTTGAAACAGGCTGGAAAAATAAAAAATCATAATGATAAAGTTGGAGGGTTGAACTTGCCTGCTATAGTTTCAATATTGAATACCACCCGGGGAGAGATAATGTTATTGTAGATACATTATCTAAAGCTTATTGTTCAGCTGTAAGTTTGGACACCCTAGAGAAATTATATAACTCTCTTTGTCACTCTGGAGTTACGTGAATGATGCATTTTGTTAGGACAAGGAACCTTCCTTTCTCTGTGGAGGATGTGAAGAGAGTATCTACTGTTTTCCCTGTATGTGCTGAAGGCAAACCTTGATTTTACCAATCTGATGCTCTGCATCTAATAAAAGCAGTCATGCCTTTTGAAAGGCTCAGTGTTGACTTCAAAGACCCCTGCCATCTTCTTCTCATAATCGGTTTTTATTTACAATAATAGACACATATTCTCACTTCCCATTCACCTTTGCTTGTCTTGATATGTCATCGCAAACAGTCATCCGATGCTTCACCTAAGTCTTTGTTATATTCAGTATACCAATGTAAGTGCATTTGGACAGGGGTTTCAGTTTCGTGTCAGCTGAGGTGAAATCCTTCTTGCATGGGCACGGAATCTCAACTAGCCACACCAAGGTAATGGGCAATGTGAGAGGTATAATGGCATTTTGTGGAAAGCAATAACTCTGTCACTCTGCCTACCTATAAATCAATGGTAGAATATTCTGCCAGATGTTTTACATTCAATGCACACACTGCTTTCAACAGTTATGAATGAACGCCTATTTAACTATCCTCGCCAAACCTCCAGTGGCTATTCTGTTCCAACATGGCTAACAACACCAGGAAAGGTTCTTCTAAGACGGCATGTCAGACAATAGAATTATGACCCTATTGTGGAGGAGGCGGAACTTATAGAAGCCAATCATTATGCGCACATTCGTCTTCAAAACGGCAAGGAAACTACCGTATCAATCTAAGATTTCACCCCTGCTAGTCTCGTTCAGAATTGTTCTCTGAAATACAACACTCTGACTTACCCACTCAAAACTTTAAGACCTTAGACCCTGAAAAGACTGAATCTACTACAGATACACCAGAAAATGAAATCAAAATTCCTTTACGTTGATCAGAGCGATCGCGTAGACTTCCCGACTGCTTAACTTATGAGTAAATCTTTTGCTGATTTCCTTAAATCAAATAGGGTTATAAAAGAGATACTTAAAAATTGATTATACCCTGCTAGGGTATAATCTTTCCTTAATATTTATTGACCAACTGCTTCTAATTATTTCTAGAAGCAGGGGAGATTGTGGTGAACATTTCTTCTCTCCACTCTGTAAGGTAGCAGCGAGACGACGTGTATCTGCTTAGATACTCGTTGCCGTGAATGTCTTGTTTAAGTAGCCCACTCTCGCCTCTCATGTAAGCGGGCGAGTCTACTTCTATGGGGGTGTGACGCCAAGACCATTCCGGTCTTGTAACTGGGCGTCTTAGGTTCGATTCCACCTCTACACACTCCTGCCTATAATCAAAAATGGACTGTGCCTGTTTATAAATAGTTTTTGTTTGTATTAACTGCTCTATTGTACCGAATAAAACCTAATTTGGGTTACTCTGCTCTGGGTCTTTTATTACACATACCTACAGACAATAATGGGTATGTCCCCATTCATATACATACAGTAGTAAGTACTGTATGTTGGTCTGCAGTTGGAGTTTCATTGTGGAATTCACTTGACTCACTTCTAGTAGTTGACTACTACTTTTACACGCCGCTAGCTATTCTTGCACGTGTTGTTCTTGTCCTAAGTATTATCGTTCATTACCAACCTTTGTGTGATTATTCTTTTCAGTAACCTTGCCTAGGTTACAACAAAAAGAATGGTTACGGAGTTCATACAAGTAATATTTCTATGAAACTGTAACATAATATTACTATGTGTATTAAATTCTTCTAGTGTATTCCTTCACAATGTCCTGAATATATAGATACTATTTCTTATATTTTGCCACTCCTCACTTGACAACTTACCTGTTTAACAACCCTGACTCCGACTTATGACCGACTATAAAATTGAAATAAATCTAACCAGTTGGTAAATCTGGATGGTATGAAAACTTTAATCATTATTCAAAATCTTTTTATTATATAAAATATCAAAATTTTTCAAATAATGTCTGCTTCAATTTACTTTTTAACTAATGTAGTAAGTACAAAAAAGAAAAATTTTATTAAATTCACATAGTGTACACAAATGAATTAAGGCAAGTCGTCTACATGAATCATTTGTAACATTGTAAAATGTTACAAATAAACTGTTCCAAGAATTTAAATAAATTAATTTCTTTGGTAAACATTGAAGTTCATGATATGAACATCCATCCCTTGGGCAATTTTTTTTACTAACTGAACAGTTTGAGATATTGCCCTGGTGGGAAAGACTGTCTGCTGGTTCCAATAAACAGGAGGATGTGTGGATGGTGTAATAGATAGTAGCTTAGAATGAGAAATCAGAGCAAAGTTCAAATTCCAGTTGACTTCATTACATTCACTTAGGTGCAAATACCTTTAGGAAAGGTATGAATTTCCTCCTCTACCTATGGATTAAATAGTAAGGCTTGTGTCCAGAAAAAAATAATTATGTTTCAGTTTTAACTAATCCACAAAGGGTTAAGCTGTAAAAAAACAAATCTATCAGTCAATCAATCAATCCAATAAACAAATCTTTCACCTGTCACTACCTGGGAGTAGACATTTGGGATATTTCTGCTGCTATTCTCATAATAGACTAACAGATCAGAGTTTCACTTTGGTAAGCAAGAACTCTGTCTCCCAGTATTTCTACATCTCTTCCAACTCTAACCCTGACTCCTATTATCTAGAATGCGGTCTGACTGTGTAAGTTCAGGATCAGAATTCCCTACCTTTTGACTGAGTGTTACTTGATTCCAAAAGTTTTTAATTATTGATACATTTTATTTCCTTCTAGCTGGAGGTTACTTTGAAACTCTTGATTTTAACCACCATGTACTTGGTTCTCCTAAAACTGCCAGTTATTCTAGGCCTAGATAAAAATCACTTACACTCCATTTGACAACGTGAGTGAGGGACCCGTTATGCCACCTTGGTACAAAGTATGAAATTGATGTCACTTGGAAGTAGAAGCATAGATTTAATCAGAATTATAGGAACTGAGGAAAACTCTAAATATTGTCTTACATCATTATACTTTCTTTTAAATAACTGACATCATATTGAGAAAAAAAATGCCTTTTCTGATTAGTTTAATTTCTTCCTTGTGTAATGGAGATGCTATTGTCCTGTAATTATTATTATTATTAATATTATCCCCTTTCATGGAACTCATTAATAGTGTTCTTTTTGTTTGTTTTTTTTTAAGACAGCTGCTGTTCTTGAACATAGTTTTAACTGAAAGTCCATTTTATTAATTTCTCTGTTGTCTATAATTTTGACAAGTCTTTATTCCACAAATTGTTTGGACTGTTAGTCATTTTGTGATTTTTGTTGGTATATTTTGAATTGGTCAGTCCTACTCCTACAACCTTTTTCAAATTTATGGTTTGTAAGAAATGGAAGAGGTTACTTTTTATATAAAATGTTGCCAACTGATTGGTTCAGTTCATTTCCAGCCACACACCCTGTAGGTGGACAATCCATTTGAAAACATTCAGGTGGACTACATATAAATCTATATATAATATATATAGTCTATAAAGAAAGCAGGTTTTTTTTTTCTTTAGAATTCTACACCTACACAAAGTTGTATAAGAAGTTTGTTTGAAATGTGCAACACATGAATTCAATCATTGCACATTGAATAATTTCTGTTTTGTTTGAATCCTACAAAATGTAAGAATATTTTTTTAAGCAAATAGTAAATTATTCTATTATAAGTTATTATTGTAATGAGTTGATGACTGTGATTTGGGAGGTAGATCGGAGGTACAGGGAGCAATGGATGAATTGTTGTCTAAATTACATAAAAATGAAAATAAAACTGACATTTCATTTTAACAGATATATTTACCAAAATTACAAAAAAATAGTGTAAGAGTAAATTTATTGATTAAAATCACCATTGGCTTCAGCCACAGCCTCTAGATGACTTTGGAATCTCCTGCATCTCTTCTGGGTGGTCTCCTTAAGTTGGCAAATGCTGCCATAATCCTTGCCTTCAGTTCATCTTTGGTGTTACAAGGAGTTTTGTTGGTCTCTCACTCAACTGCACCCCACAATAGTCAAGGGGTTTGCAGTCTGAAGAGTTAGCTGGCCAGATGTAAGAGGTGGTATGGTCACAGAAATTGTCTAACATCCATGACTGAGTTCTCCTGCTTGTGTGGCATGGTGCAGAGTCCTGTTGCCAGACATAGGATCTTCCAAAAATCAAAAACAATCGATGTACATGTGCAAAATTAAATATATAGAATGGTGACAATTTGCACCTTGTATATATTCTGAAAATGGCTTTAATATTATCCACAAGATGCCATCTATTTACCATTTTAAGAAATTTAACACTTTTAGTAGTATTAGATTTTCAGTGTTATGAAGGTTTACCTTCTTTTTTTTTTCTTTTGTTTAAATGTGTCTTTTGTTTTTTCTTTACTAATGGTATCTTTTTTTTTTTTTTTTTTTTTTTTTTTTTTACAGAAGTTCCTAAAAAGAAGTCAAAAGGCTCCAAATCCTCAAAGAAGCCTGGCATCTGTTCAGTATTCTGTAAATATTTTTTACTCACCCTCCTTCTCTTGTCTGGCCTTGGAACCATGTTGTATTTTGTGAACAATGATGTACAGGAAGTTGTTGGTAAGTTAATTTCATTTTTATCTTTATTTTTTTATACAATTTTGTTGTAACATATAAAATATTACATTATGACACAGAGACAATAGATTTCATTTTAAAATATTCTTGTTATCAAGATAGAGGTTCATGATTAATATGAAGAATTCATTTTTCCTTACAAGTAATGACATGTTTTAGAAATTGGTTGTTATTACTGCAAGTAAATATCAAATCTTAGAACTGTACAGTTTGTGAAATATTAAGGATGTGGAATTAGTAAATACTAAACACTTCAAATATCTTGGTGTATGGATCAGTTATAACAAACTTAGTCCAGGAGAAAATAAAATTGAACATAAAATAGGCTGTGTTAGGAGTAGTTTCACCCAATACCACAAGTTGCTACTAAACCAAAACATTAACAAAAACTCAAATAACATTGTCAGATCTAGACTCTCATAGATGTCATACATGGTGCCTAACCCATCCAGAAATGCCTAAACTGTCAACTGTATAGAAACACTTTCTCAGATCAATGGTTAAAAATGGTTTAAAGGGAATGGATCCTGTAGGTCTTAGAAAGGATCATTCTTCTTCAAACTTTTTGAACTGGTGCTACAGAACCACAATGTTTACCAAATAATACAAACCACGTTACTTGAACTTTCAATAGCAGCAACAACTAAAATGGATATCATGTATAGCTTGAAGAGGAAATAGACATAATGAAAATATTGATGTTCCTTATCAAATAAAAGGTTACGAAGCCCTTCCCCATCAATAATGCAAAGAGCAATACCAATTACTGGACTTGAGAAACTTATTTTCCTGAAATATTTTTTCTCTCTTTATACTGAAATAACTGACATAGCATAAATTGTGGCATACAAGTTGAGTTTTCAAGCTTAAAGAAAATCTTTTTTTGTCACAGTTTTGGTATCCTACTGTATGTTTTAAGGCTCAACTTATATGGTAAGTATAGGCCTGACTCAGAACTTTGAAATAAATATTATATGGTATTAAACTGTGAAATTGACTTTGTTACAATTGAATCATTGAGCACATATACCAGCAATGTTAGAGAAATAATAATATTTGGTGAAATATAAATTGTTGATCTAATAATCTTTGAATTTTTTTAGATAAAGCATTGTCATTATTGATTAAGCAAACAAAATGAATAGGAAATAATCAATAACACATCAGTGAAATTTGAATTCACCTCCTTTAGTCTTGCTGATTAGATAATGAATGCTTAATTAGTAAACATACAAATTAGTCATATAGCTATCAAGTTCATTTTGGATATGCTTACAATGATACAAGATAATTCATTGGATGCTATTTTTTTATTTTTTCATTTATGGTATTGACAGCTGTGGGTATAAACTGCTTTTTAAAATATAAGTTGGTTACAAAATTAAATTTTTACAAAGTATTTGTAGCCAAGACCTACCTTGCTACATCCACAGGCTTGAAACATTTTGAATCATTTTAGTAAAAAGAGCATTCTCTTTCCTAGAATTGCAACTTTGTGGAACAGACTCCTATGTGGATGCTTCCCTGAATACTACAATCTTAACCTCTTTAAATCTAGGGTCAATTGTTATCTATCCACCATATACTTGTAATTTTCACTTTCTATTTATGTTTATATCACACACCTCATTCAGTAACTCTCTACCTTGAGTGGCTCTTGGGCCTTGAATTGGGTGAATGAAAATGCTCCTTTAAACATTAGTAATTGAATCTCTCATAAATATTTTCCTTTTTTTTTTTTTTTCCAGACATTTATATTCAACATGCAAAAGATGCAGATCTGGGTAACCTGAAAGGAATTTTTGAAAATTTCCCATCAATTTTATCTGATGAATCACAGGAATCAGTTGAAGAGAAAAAAGAATCTTATCCAATGGAAAATGATTTTGTTGATGATGATGAAGGAGAACTCCGGGGAAATCTACCACCACCTGTCACGGAAACAAAGCCTGCAGTTGAGGAGAAACCTGTAGAGGCAGCAGCAGTTGTAACTGATGCAAAAGAATCGGAAACCAAAGCAGCTGAACATGTAGAAAAACCAGTGATTGAGGAGCCAGTAACACCAGTAATAGAAGAGACTGTGGTTCCTGTAGCTGAAGAACTAAAAGTAAAGGAGTCACATCTCCCTGTAGCTGAAGAACCTGAGATACAGGAACATGATGTTCCAGTGGTTGAGGAACCCAAGACACTTGTGGCTGAAGAGCAGGATACCCCGATGGTTGGGGAACCTGAAGAACTGAAGCCTCAGGAACCTGAAGTCCCTGTGGCCAAGGATATGGTAGCAGATGAGCCAAAGGCTCAGGAGCCGGAAACTCCCATGACTGAAGAGCCAAGGGCCCAAGAGCCTGAAACTCCCAAAGAGCCAAGAGCGCAGGAAGCTGAGGCTCTCAAAGTCGATGAGCCACAGATCCAGGAATCTGAAGCTCCTGAGCCTGATGAGCCACGGGCACAGGAAGCTGAAGCTCCTGAGCCTGACGAGCCGCTGCCCCAGGAAGCTGAAGCTCCTGAGCCTGACGAGCCGCTGCCCCAGGAAGCTGAAGCTCCTGAGCCTGATGAGCCGCTGCCCCAGGAAGCTGAAGCTCCTGAGCCTGACGAGCCGCAGGCCCAGGAAGCTGAAGCTCCTGAGCCTGACGAGCTGCGGCCCCAGGAAGCTGAAGCTCCTGAGCCTGACGAGCAGCGGCCCCAGGAAGCTGAAGCTCCTGAGCCTGACGAGCCGCGGCCCCAGGAAGCTGAAGCTCCTGAGCCTGACAAGCTGCGGGCCCAGGAAGCCGAAGATCCTGAGGCTGACGAGCCGCTGGCCCAGGAAGCCGAAGATCCTGAGGCTGACGAGCTGCAGCCCAGGAAGCAGAAGCTCCTGAGGCTGACGAGCAGCTGGCACAAGAAGCTGAAGTTCCTGAGGCCCAGGAAGCCAAAACTCCCAAGGCTGATGAGTTGAGAGTCCAAGAACCTGAGGCTCCCATGGCCGAAGAGCATGATGCTCCTGTGGCTGATGAACCTGAAGCCTATGTTGCCGATGAAGTGAAGGCTCAGGATCCCCAGGCTCCTGATGTTGATGAGCTAAGGACTCATGAGCCTGAAGCTCCCAAAGATGATGAATCAAGTTCCCAGGAATCCAAATCTCCGCAGTCCAGTGAAGAACTGAAAGACAACGAATTTGAAGATGATGTTGAAAAACATGAGATTCCTTTAACTGAGGAACAACATGGTGAACAACCTGAGGATTTTGTGGAGGAATCTCTACATCCTACAGAGCCAGAAAGTCATGTCCCCAAAGAAGAGAAAAGCAAGGAAACTAAAACCCATGCTCCTGAAATTGCAAAACCTGATGAATCAGAATCTGAAAACCAGATGCCTGAAAAAACTGCTACTCCCACCGTCCCAGAACCCAAAGAAACTGTACACGAAGCAGCCTATGCAGATTCCACCTCTACAAATGAAGATAAGATATATGAGAAAATGTCTATTACCAACAGTGTTGATTACCTTATTCGAGATGAATTAGATGCTGCTGATGAATTGTTGAAGGTTAGATTTTCTACATTTTTTAATGCTTTAATTCTCTCTCTTTTGACTTGTTATTTACAGTTGGACTAATGTCCTCATCTTTGTTGTCATTATCACAATGTTTTGACTATTGTACCGGGCTTCTTCAGGTGTCTTTCAAATCAGATAACCTTCAGAAAACTTTTTATTTAATCTATGGAAATAGATTATTCACATTCCATTATCCATTTCTTAAAAAAAAAAAAAAATGCTTGGATATCAAAGGTGGAAAGAGAAGAATCTTTTTTAAAAAAAATGCACCTATATGCACTATAATACCTTTGTTGCTGCATTGTCAATGCTGCCGCTGCACATTTTCATTTTGTTTCATCAATCTGTTGTTACCTGACCCGGCACTACCAAAAAAACAAATTATTGGCATTGCCACCTGGTAGTGTTTTTGATCTTCACGAACATCGCATATTGACCTCAGCAAGCGGGGAAGTAACCAGATTCTACAGGGATTCTGCCCAGTGGTTTTTGCGATTCTGTGGAGATTTCAGGTGTGAAATCCTCACAGTCTTGGCAATTTCTTTACTGAAAACTAATTTCAAGACACAAACCAACAAACTCAGGGTTTAATGGTAACAAATTGAGTAGGCTTACAACCACATCATGTTGAAACACTGGTTCTCATATGATCACATGAAGTTAAGCAATGTCACACCTGGTCAGTACTTAGATGGGTGACCACTTGGGATGACTAGATGCTGCCAGCTTGGATGTGCAGGTGGTGTAATGGATAATGGCTCAGACTTAGAGAGCTGAATTTCAATACCAGTTGGGTTATTTGTATTCACTTCCACACAAATCCCCTTGAAAAAGATATTAATAAACCTCTTCATCCCCCAGCAATGGATTAAAAAATCTTGTATCAGTAAATCATTACTATCTCCCAAAAATTCTTACAGTGTAAAAATATTTTCTGGCTTTAAATAACCAGAAAAAGGTTGATAAACCATAAAAAACAAATCAATCAATCAACAATAACAAATTGAAGAATTTGAAAGTGCATAAGGAGTAAGGAATTATTAATATTTCTATGTAGCCTGGTTTCAGTACAAAAATTATTTTAGCAATAATTCATAATAATTTGAGAGAGCTCTCTGTCAGGGGCAGAAGGAGAAGGGGAGATTAAATTTGGACTTTGCCTATCTTGCCATCTGGTCTCTCTGACACTCTGTGTCACTGGGTATTGATTCATTTATTTAAGAAACTTGATCACTTCTGGCACTGATTTTTTTGATGTCTTTCTATAAGATATACATGACATTTCTTTGTTTGAAATAAACAGATGGCTTCTTAGGTATTCATTCCCAAAACCCCTAACATTGTATTTGGTAAGCTATAAACATTTGTGGGTTTGATAGTATTTTAAATAAACCTAGCAAGAATTCTGCTTTGGAATTTTGAAAATTCCAGAAGATCATAAATCTTGTCATACTGCTCCCCCCTGCCCGGGAGGTAATTGGGTAGCTTGGGAGGACACATAGTCTTACTGAAGCTTAATGAATTCTACTTGATTTATTTCAGGTTCAAATCTTTCTAGAGACATCTCTAAACTCGTTTTATGGATTCTAATTATTATTTTTAATTGGTTCTTTCTTTTTTTTCACAGTCCGATCTTATTTCCTGCTTCAAATCATCATTAGGCATTCTCATGTATTAAAACATTGAATCAGTTACCACCTTGTTATGTTCCTCGCACAATAAAATGCTGAGGCATGTTTAACACCCTGTTATATCCCTCATACAATAAAATGTTGAACCTGGGTTGCCACTTTGTTATATAAACATGGACAGTGGAATGAACACGATCTGCCTCCATAGATTAAGTAAATGGTTTGAAATTCCCTCAATGTTACCTAGATCAAAAGATACCTGAAGAAGGCTGGAGTACCTCTACTGTTGAAATGTTGTGATAATGATGACCATAATGAGGACATTGGTCCAAGTGTAAATCATATAAATACTTTAAACTCATTTGCATGTTTATTTCATTATTATTATTTATTTCCTCATCAACTAGCATGTTAGAAAGAGGAAACTTGGGATTTGGGATGAATATAAAAATGTTAAAATTAAGTTAGCCTTCATATTTCAAAACCTATGAACATGTTTCCAACATATCAAGTTGTAAATATTACTGTTGTCCACAAAAACATGATTTACATTTAGACTCTATTATTACAATTACTGATTTTTAACTAAGAAAAAAATTTTTATGAACTAATAAGAAAACTAGAAACATTTCTTTCCTATCATTTTTCTAAAACTGTTTAAAATAATTTCTTCCAAGTTTCTATTTGTAAAAGTACTTTAAGATAAACTGTGAAAATATTGTAAATGTAAAACAAAAACCTGATTACTAATAGAGTAATAAAATCACAAGAATCACTTTTTTTTTTTAATAATAGTAGATACAAAATATCCTTTTTTTTCTTTCTTTTTTTTTTTTTAAACTTTATCAGAGCAAAAAGAAATTAGGTTCGGTTCATTGATATAGGAAACGAATATTATACATTAACTGCCTCTAACTTTGGAAAGTCATTAATATATATAACATTGCTTGAGTGCCCAAGCATCTTTCTGTTTATTTTGGCACACAAGTGGTTTTTTTTTGTTTTTTTTTTTTTTTGTTGATTTTGGTGCCCCAATGTCTCATTTTTGTAGATTTTGACCATCAGGTGTCTTTTTTGTGGATTTCGGCATCCAAGTGTCTTTTTCATGGATTTGGCTGCCCAAGTGTATATCTCTATAGGTTGTTAACAGTTGGATATATATTTAAAAAAAAACTGTTAAAGGAAATCAGCTGCAAGAAATTTCATACACGTTTTTTTTTTTTTTTATTGTTAAGATTGTGTATTTTACAACCAAGATGCATTAATGTTACTAAGAAGCATCTTTCTGCATTCATTTCAAACTTAACATTTATTCTTACATGCATTTCTTTTTGCATCAAGCAAGATTTTGTGCTAGTCATATTTTATTTTTGTAGATTAAATGTTAAAATTAATTACACTTTTGTCATCTGGAAACAAAGTTACATACTTTGGTAATAAGGTAAAAAATATGCCACTTTAAAATTTATGTGTTAAAATAGCCTATTAAATAAATATAAACATATATATATAGATAATATTAGTGGAAATATATACATACATATATAAATATATATATATATATATATATATATATATATATATATAAACCATACATGTATATTTTCAGAAAAAAATTTTCCAAGAGGAAGAATCCAGGTAGAACTCAATGTCTTGGACAGAGTAAGGATATAATAAAAAGGCTTAAACACTAATATTCCATGGTCATAATTTATTCCATTGGAATCATAAATACGATCCAAATCATCAGACCTACAAATTCAAAATGAAAACAGAAAAAAACAACTCCGGAAATCAAAACAGAATTTAGAGAAAGTGTAAGTATGAGGAGGAGGGAGATGAAACCTTAACAGAGAGAATTTTAGGAGATGTGAGGGGGGGGGATTTAAAAAGAGGAGAGAAATAAAGTCATGCATAAAGATACATTTCGTGGTGACATATACACACCATAGACAATTAGGATAGGAGGTGGGGAAAAAAAGAAAGAGAAGAGGTGGGGGAGAGAGATGGGACGAAGGAAAATAAAATTGTGTTTACTTAAAGGGCCGCTTTGTAATTGAGAAAATTTGACAAATTAATATCGACTACAGGTTAGAAATCAAATATAAATATATGAAGATGAATATAACGATTGTCTAATTTAGCAAGGACCAAATATTTCTATGTTCAAAAACACATACTAATACACACAAAAACATATACAAGTAGGTACATACACTTAGGCATGTACTCTCACACACACACACACAGACATACGTGTACACACACACATACATACATATATATATATATATATATATATATATATATATATATATAAAACCTAAAAATATAAAAATATATTCACATATCCATCTATATTCATATACACACACTTTTCACATACATATACACGCATACATATGCCCCCATGCATATATTCATACATACATACATATACACATACATATATATACACACACATATATATATATATATATATATATATATATACACATGCAAATACATACACACCCTTACATATGTATATATACATACACACACATACATGCATATACATATGTACACATACACACCTATACATATACATACATAAACACCTCCATACGTACATATGTACACACTTACATACATATACACATATATCCACATATACACATACATACATATACATACAAATATACACACATACATACACATAAATACACACACAGAGATACATATATGTACATATATATAAAAAGTTAAAATCTAAATAAGTGATGATTCAAATATTTGCGCGTGTATAAAAAAAATATATATATATATATATATATATATATATATATATATATATATGCATATGCATACACATACACAAACATATATACATATATAAATACATAGCGCATCACATAAACGTGCACAATGATACATTTAGAGATAAATATAATAGTCATACAATTAAAATGTCATGCCCGATGTTATAGGACTAAGATGGAGCCGACATAAGTGACAACATGTTAAAAAATGGTGTTCAAGTTTTGAAACGTTTCTTATGTCTACATTTAGAGAATATCTCATTCCGAAGATTCAGCAGCTCATCTCAATTCTTATCTTTGATAATGAAGATTTTTTCCGCCATGCATAGATCACACCGATTGTGGAAGTTATTAGGTGTTCTGGCTCTAGATAGGAATCTCCATTTCAAAATTGGGTTTAATCCCTTATCCACCAGTTCCCAGTAGTGTTTGGATAAGGAAGTCTGTCTACTGAGGCATCTATATCTAAATGAGCGTCTATGGTTGTATAGACGCTGCTTCCAATCACTATATATATATATATATATATATATATATATATATATATATATATATTATAAAAACAACATCTAAGATATTATTACAGTTAGATTTACGTTAGGAATATTTGTTCCATATCACGTGACGTTCGCATCTCGCGATGGACGCTACTTGTAAACAAACAGTTATTTCTGAAGAAAGATTGAGGCCAATCTGAAATATCAAATTTATATACAAATAAATAAATACTTTCATAAAAGAACATTATTATTTTTTTTAATTTGCAACTTTTTCTATATATATATAAATTCCCAAGAGGATAGAATCCAGGTAGAATTCAAAGTCCAGGACAGATTAAGAATATAATATAAAAGGCTCAAACATTAATATTCCATGGTTATAATTTATTACATTGGAATTGTAAACACAATCCAATTCATCAGACCTAAAAATTCAAAAGCTTTTTGAATTTGTAGGTGTGATAAATTGGATTGTGATTACGTTTCCAATGTAATAAATTATAACCATGGAATATTAGTGTTTGAAACTTTTTTTTTATATATATATATATATATATAAGCTGTAGTTAACTTTCATATTACTTGAATTTTACCTCTTACTTCGACTATTCCAGACACCTTGATGTTTACATTCCTTCAAAATTGGAAATATTTAATTAATAGTATAAATTAGTCATTCTGATTTCTTAAATAGAATGAAAGACATACAAACCTTGGCAAAAATTATGGAATCACCATACATCAAGGATGTCTATTCCACAATTTTTTTTTCCCCCCAAAGCAAATAAATAAAT